CTCCCTCCTAGAACCCACATCCTCTCCTGCACCCCAATCCCTATGCCAGCTGTGAGTGCCTTCCCACACCCAAGTTCCCTCAGAGTTTCCCCCGGCCCCGTTCTCCTGCCCCAACCCTGAGCCCTTCCTAGAGCTCACACCCTAAGCCCCTGTTCCAGCCCCAACCCCCTTGCAATACTCCAATTCCCTCCCAGAGCTCGTACCCTGCCCTGTCCCGCCCCAGGCTCAGGTGTGATCCCTGCCACACTCCAAACCCTTCAGGCTTAGCCCAGAGCCTGCACCCTCTTCCACACCCCAAACTCCACCCCCAGCCCAGTGAAAGTGAGTGAGGGTGGGGGAGCACAAACAACAAAGTGAGGGGGGACGGTGTGAGGGTGTGAGTGGGGGCGGGGTCTCAGAATAGGGGCAGGAAAGGAGCCAGGGTGTTTGAGGTTGTGTGATTTTGACAGTTGGAAGCCCTACACACCCACCATTTCACAGCTGCTCCTTTGCCCGGGTAGTAACTGCTCTCTCCCACACCTCATCTCCATAGAGAACTTTCTGGGTGTCTGGCTGATGAGTCTTGCCCACAGGCTCAGGGTTTAGCTGATCGCCATATTTGGGGTCGGGAAGGAATTTTCCTCCAGGGTAGATTGGCAGAGGCCCTGGAGGTTTTTTGCCTTCCTCTGTAGCATGGGGTACAGATCACAGCTGGAGGATTCTCTGCATCTTGGGGTCTTCAAACTATTTGAAGGCTTCAATATCTGAGATATAGGTGAGAGGATTATTCTGGGAGGGGTGGGTGAGATTATGTGTCCTGCACTGTGCAGGGGGTCAGACTAGATGATCATAATGGTCCCTTCTGACCTTAAAGTCTATGAGTCTATGATCTGGAGTGTGAGAAGGGCTCTGAGCTGAGCTTGGGGCGGGCAGTTGGGATGTAGGAGGGGTTTTAAGTGCAGGATCTGGGAGGGTGTTTTGATGCAGGGGTGCTTGGGGCTAGAACAGAGGCTTCGGGTGCAGGAGGGGGCTCATGACGAGGTAGGAGTTTGGGATGTGGGCTCCATCAGAGCACCACTTACCTCTGGCAGCTCTGGGGAGGTGGCGCAGTGGGGCAAAGGCAGGCTCACCCCTGCCCTGGCCCTGCACCACTCCCAAAGGCACAGCAAGCTCTCTCCCAAGTCCTGTTGTGCCCCCTCTCTGCTCTGTGGAGATAGAATGCAGAGTGGTAGAGGGTCACCTTGATATCAGCACTCTTCCTCTTCGTACCCAGACACTCCCTGCTGATGTGGGGGGACAGATCCAAGGCAAAGGGCAGGAGAAGCACAGCAGTGGGAGGAGGAGAAACTGAAGTGCTGTCACTGTTAGTATCACCTGTCAGAGGCTCCAAGATCTACCAGTAGATCCCGATCCACTGGTTTGTGACCACTGGTCTAGGGCAATTTTCCCAGCAAAGTAAATTTTTAAAATGTTGTGTGATCTTGTTTACAGTAGAAAGGCATGTCACACATAAAAACAATAATTAAGGAATGATAAGTCAAAGCACTCCTTTCTTTCTGAAATGAAGACTACTGTGCACCTTACAACGGCTTTAATCATTATAATTTCTGTCATTCAGGGGTATGTATTTTCACACGCTCTCAGCAACAACAATTTTAACAATGGAAGTAAGGTTTAGACATAGCCTAAGATCTCTATTTTTTTCTCCCGCCAAACTGTTCAGCCACACTTTTTGCAGATGAAATTTTCTGAGTGTAATTTTTTAATTTTGACCCTAGGTGGCAGTAACATTTTAGATTTAGAGCCTCAGTCTTCTGACTTTTTAGGATAAGCCAACACACATTCTCTTCTTTTATATCACAAGACCACAGAAAAAATTGCCATAACTGGCTAGATCTGCTTAGCATCTCCTGGCTAGTGCCCTTTTTCGGACCGAAGGACCAGAGGAGGTGGCATACAAGACCCAATTCCTTCCATTTTATGGACAAGAGAGAAAGGCAATTCAGCTCAATTCAAATCAGAGTCCCTCCTGGCAATACATCTTGAGGAGAAGGTATGCATGAACCAATCCCCCTTCACTCCAGCAGCAGTCAGAGAGAAAAGGCAATATATGTCCAATCCCCTCCTGACTACTTTGGGGTACTGCAAACTGGAAGGCCAATCCTGTGCATAAAGGTTAATGAAGAGGGCAATGAGGGTGAACTACATTGCTGTGTTCTGTTGGCACTTATTTCTTGTGGCTGTTGTCTGGGGATTTACTCCCACTCAGTTTCTTTTATTTATGAAGTTAAAATAATGGAAAGAAAACTACATAATGCTGGGTTGTCAGAAGTGGATAGAACTAGTAATGCTAAAGCAATAAACAAGGAAATAGAATTTAAAGGGGGATCAATCAAAGGGGAAGTTTGACATTGCCAAATTGTTTTCAGATTGTTGAACAGTTACTTTGGTTGTTGTCATCATCTTTCCACGCAGGCCAGCGACTGCTGTTTGTTGCTTTTCTCCTGAATTGGCTGATCCAACTAAATTCAGGAAGAGCACAGTACTTTCACAACTGCTTTCCTGGAATAGTATCTCAGAGTACCAGATAGGCATTATCAATGTACATACTAATGAAAGCTGACTGGCTCTAACAGCTATGCCTCCCACAGAGATTGGAAGCAGGGATGCTGGGGCCAATCATTTGCGAGTGTCTTGCGTGACTCATGGCTCCTATGGCACTCTGCAATGGATTTTTTGCTGCCAGGAGTGGGCCTGGGGCAGCAAAAGTGTTCAGAACTCTTTCAACATCCATTTTAGATCAGCGGTGCTGACAGAAAGGGAGAGAAAAATCAACACAAGAATGTGAGAAGTTTGCAAAATGTCCTCTCACAGGCCATTTTCAAAATCTTTCTCCCGAAGTCCCCACTGACAATGTTGCTTATTCCACGATGGATTAACAACCAACAGGGAATGTTTTATGTAGTTCCTGGTCTTGCAGACAGAGTAGGGGGCTACCCTTTGCCAGTGTCTGTGGTTCCATTCTCATGCAATCATTTTGATTTACCAAGAAGGCTGAAATTTCAATTCTCACAGGATACTGATCCACAATTCTCTTTTCTATAATTTAACTCCCAAAAGATGGCAGCTGCACTATCGGCACTAAAAGGCCATAGTACAGCTGTGCCCTGAGAACCATCATGCTGCTGACAGAAGCAGTCAGCAGCACATGAGATGTTACAGAGTATGAAGCTGGCTGGTGGCACTGATAGTGAAGCAGTCTTGGTCCTGCTTCTGGATGTGTGGACTAATATCTTTCCCACAGGGATGGTATATATTCTATAACTTTCCATTCAGTGGTGTTAGTATAGCTCAGCTACTCCATATTTGATTTTGTAACTAAGCATTGCTTGTTACCCTATGGGTCAACTAGCAGGGGGCAACATTTAACATTTTGTTAATCATAAGATCTGTACCATTAACTACTGTTTTGCCATTTTAGCTCTCCTGTACAACACAAATCCAACCATGTCAGGGAGCCTATCTGTAACATGGCTGTCCCTCACGCAGTGTAACCCTGCAGTGCTGGCGGGACCTAACTCTGTCTGTAAAATCATATGAAAAAGCTCAGGATATATCCTTTATAAATGATCTGAAGTCACAGTTAGGCTGTCAAGTTTGCAAAAACATCTTGACAATATGAAGCAAGTGTACTCTCTCTATAAAGACTCTGCTTATCACAAGGCAGATAAAAATAACCCAAAATGTATTTTTTTTTAATCCACTGACTTTTAAAACCATCTCGTGATTTTTAAATACCAGAGTCTGGCAAAACTAGGAGGCAGAGTTTTAATTTATTCATTTCAATCGTGGTGGGGTTTTTTGAAAGACGCGAATAAAAAATGTGAGCTATCTGGGCTTCCGGTCTTTTATGAAACCAGAAACCTGTGTGATCTAGCGCTAGTTCAGACATTAGCAGGAGTGTCTAAGCAGCAACACAGGACTGCCTAATTATGATAAAAGCAAACCTAAGAATGATGCAAACATGAACTCATATGAAAATTACCTGGCGTCCCCAGCTGATCCTGGGTTCCAGGGAAAGGCGTGCGGAACCCAGGGTCATCTGGTTTGGCCCCCACTGACCTTGGGGCTTGGTGTGGAATTTCAAAGCAACAGCACTGCATGGAGCCCGGGTCAGCGGTGGACTCCCCAGATGACCCTGGATTTCACACATATTTCCCCAGAGGTTTGGGGAGAGAGGAGCTAGGGTACCAGAGGCAGGCTCTGGCTGGGAGACCTTACCTGGATGGCTCCCATCCAGCAGCCCAGCAAGTTCCTTAACCAGGATCCCTACCTTCCATGCCCCTGAACTGCCCGCAGCAGCTATGGGGGGCCATGCGACCCTGGGGAATAAGAGGGGCAGGGGACTTCATATGATGGCTGTCCTGCAGATGGGCAGCTGCTATTGGCTGGAAACTGGCCAATAGGAGCTACTGGGGGCGGGAGCAGTGTGAGAAGCCTCTGCCCCCTGAGGGCTCTCAGCATTCACAGAAGCAAATGGCCCTGCAGCAGCTGCCTTCACTGAGTGCTGCACGGGGCGGGTCAAACAGGGAACCAGCTGAGGTTCTGGCAGGCTGGATCCGGCAGCCCAGTGAGCCGGATCCAGCCCACAGATCATATTTTGCCTAGCCCTGATCTAACACTTACTAGTGTAACTCTTCTATCATTTCCATAAGCCCCAACTTCACTCACAAACATAAACCTGGGATTTTATGCACTTTTTTTTTTACAAGTATAACCATGTTACAAATAGATGTAAAGAGAAGCAAGTTCTTGGATGGCTCAGTGGGCTGGAAAGGAAATACATCTACAGTCACTGGTTTAAAACCAGTCCAGTGCAGTAGTGCTGAAAGTCATTACCATCTGATATCTGTTCAATGACATGTGTAATAAGGTTGTGGTTTCAATCAAGTCCCTAGGTGGGTATTCTGTCTTTATCACAAACATTATCATCATTAATGGTATT